GCCTAGAATCCCCCAGTGAGGGGCTGGGGTGTGGCTCAGTGGTAGAGCCCCTGCCTAGAATCCCCCAGTGAGGGTCTGGGGTGTGGCTCAGTGGTAGAGCCCCTGCCTAGAATCCCCCAGTGAGTGGCTGGGGTGTGGCTCAGTGGTAGAGCACCTGCCTAGAATCCCCCAGTGAGGGGCTGGGGTGTGGCTCAGTGGTAGAGCCCCTGCCTAGAATCCCCCAGTGAGGGGCTGGGGTGTGGCTCAGTGGTAGAGCACCTGCCTAGAATTCCCCAGTGAGGAGCATGAGGGTTTGTCTCAGTGATTAAAGTGCTCAGCACACGTGAGACCCTAGTTTCAATCCCCAGTACAGGGGATGCAAACAAGCAAACACCTACATAAGCTTCATCTTGCTGTCCATCTCTTATAGACTCCCCATTCTTAGCAGGCACCCCCTCGCCGTGCATGTCTCTGCTTCCAAACAACCCCCCTTTGGTAAGAAACCTTTTAAATTAGAGGTTCACCCTATTTTAGTAGGAGCCTTTGTGTTTGCTGTCATTGTTTAATTCTCAGAGACAGGGCCCCGCTATGATGCCCAGACTGGTCTTGAACTTATGACCCTCTTGCCTCTGCCTGTCAAGTCTCCTTAGTTATCCCTTTAGTACTCTGGGCAAATTACCGGTCTTTGCTTCCGATGTCCTCATTTATGAGATAATGGTCACCCATAGTTCACATTTAATTAATTAATTTTTGAATGCATGTCTTAGCACGCGTTTAGAGGTCAAACAACAGCTTAACGGGGGCAGTAGTTGCCTCCTACCATGCGGGTCTCAGGAATCGAACTCAGGTCGTCAGGTTTGGCAAGCGCCTTTACCCACTGAGCCATCTTGCTGGACCTGGCCTCTCCACTTCTACAAGTGAGACAACAGGGATGGGAGGAAGACGTGACCGTCACACCTTTACCCAGGTGGCTGAGAGGGTGGGAGCCGGCCAGTGGCTGCCTGACTGCTGTTGGGATGGGGTCCACCTCACTGAGCAGATGGAAGCAGACAGGAAAAGTGCTGGCGTGGATAATGGGAGGCAAAGTCGACGGTCCTGGGAAAGCCCTCCTTTTGGGGTGGTGGTCCATGCCTGTAATCTCAGCACTCAGGAGGTAGAGGCAGGAGGATCAGATGTTCAAGGTTATCCTCAGCTGCATCTCAAGGGGAGATCAGCCTGGTCCCACTCCCGTTTCAAGGATGTGCAGGCTCATGAGAGAAAAATCCCTTTCTTTCTACCCCCCTAAAAATTGAAGTTTTTGGCCAGGTAGTTGTGGCAAACCCCTTGAATCCCAGCACTTGGAAAGCAAAGGTAGGCAGATCGCCATGAATTTGAGGCCAGCCTGGTCTACAGAGCGAGTTCCAGGATGGCAAACGCTACACAGAGAAACCCTGTCTCAACAAACAAATCATTTGTTTTACTTATGTAAATGTGTGCATGTATTGCATGGGTGTGCATGTGTGCACTGAGCTCACCTGCCCTGGCAAGCAAGGTCAAAGACAACTCGCAGGAGCTGGTTCTCCCCTACCCTGTGGATCCCAGGGATCAAACTCAAGTCGGCTGGCTATGCAGCGCCTGCCTTCACCAGTGGGTCCATCTCACCATCTCTCTGAGAGGTAATTCTTAAAGTGAAGGCATCTAGATAGAGCGAGCAAAGGATTTTGAGGGTAAATGAAAAAATGAACTATGTAGGCTGCAGCTTTTCTAAGGGAATGGCCGAGAAACTGACCAATGCCTGCAGATGCTCAGAATGCCCACGAGGGGGCGGCAGAGTCCAGGCTCTGTTTTAGATTTAGGGTGGCTTGAAGTGGGAGGCCTTGGAAGGGCAGAATGGACCAGAAGCATAAGAAATGAAGGCCCCTTTCTTGCCGGGCCACACCTTTAATCCCAGCACTCAGGAGGCAGGTGGATTTCTGTAAATTGGAGGCCAGCCTGATCTACATAGCAAATTCCAGGCCCACCAGGGCTACATAGTGAGACTCTGTCTCAAAAACAAACAAACAAACAAATAAATAAGGGGGATGGAGAGATGGCTCCACGGTTAAGAGCCCTGGCAGCTCTTCCAGAGAACCCGGGTTCAATAGCCTAGCACTCACACGACCGCTCACAGCTGTCTGTAACTTCAGTTCCAGGGGATCCGATACCCTTGCACAAACATACATGCCAGCAAAATACCAATGCACGTGAAATTAAAACTAAATAAATAAATAAAGTAAAACAAAACCGTTCCCAAGGTTTGGAGGGAGGGATCTGAGGGCAAAATGCTTGCTGTGCAAATGTGAAGACCTGAGCTAAATTACACAGAATTATGTATAGATGGGCCGGTAGCACACACCCGTAATCCCAGTGTTCCTGTGGAGGGATAGGAGCCGAGGCGGGAGAATGCCTGGACGTTGGTGTTGGTGTCTCAGCTCGCCTGGCACAGGCAGCAGGGAACAAGAAGATACCTTGTTTCAAACCTGTGGAAAGGGAGTCGGAGGACGCCAGAGGTTGTCCTCACGTTCTCTGAGGCACGCGTGTGACTAGACTCTCATGCACACCCTAAAAACTGACCCCCGACAGGCCAGGCCAGCGAGGATGTCTCGCAGATGAAGGCACTTGCTGATGAGCCCCATGCCCTGAGTCCAATGCCCCTGACCCACACGGGGGAAGGCGAGAACAAACTCCCTCAAGTTGCCCTCTGACCTCCCCACGTGTGCAGTAGCGTGCAGCTGTGTGTGCCCCTCTGAGCACACACAAACAGATGTAAAATAAGACATCTCCAAAATGTTCAGACTTGTAGGAGTGAAGTGGACCTGAGGAATGATCTGGGCTGGGTCCGAATGGTCACATGATTTCCCCCGGAGCTGATGAGAGAGCTGGGGCTGGAAATAGAGCCCAGGACACCCATCTCTCAGGGACTCTGCAAAGAGCATGAACTTTGTTCTAGAGGAAAGCGGGGACTTGGTTATTTTCTTAAATTTACTATTATTGTGTGTATATACAGTGTGTGTGCACATGTGTCTCTGTGCGTGTGCCTGTGTCTCTGTGTGTGCCCGTGTGCCTGTGCTCTTGTGTCTCTGTGCATGTGTATGTGTGCCTGTGTGTCCGTACTTGTGTGTCTCTGTGCGTGTGCATGCGTGTCTGTGTGTCCATGTGTGCCTGCGCACATGTGTCTCTGTGTGTGTGCATGTGTGCCTGTGCTTGTTTGTCTCTATGAGTGTGCATGTGTGTCTGTGTGTGCCTATGTGCCCATGCTTGTGTGTCTCTGGGCGTGTGTCTGTGTGCCTATGTGTACCTATGTGTCTGTGCATGTGTGTCTCTGTGCCTATGCATGTGTGTCTGTGTGTGTGCATGTGTGCCTGTGCTTGTTTGTCTCTATGCGTGTGCATGTGTGTCTATGTGTGCCTATGTGCCAATGCTTGTGTGTCTCTGTGCTTGTGTGTCTGTGTGTGTCTCTGTTCCTGTGCACATGTGTCTCTGTGTGTGCATGTGTGCCTGTGCTTGTTTGTCTCTATGCATTTGCATGTGTGTCTGTGTGTACCTGTGCGCCTGTGCTTGTGTGTCTCTGTGCTTATGTTTGTGTGCCTCCGTGTGCATGTGTGCATGCGTGCCTATGCATGTGTGTCTCTGTGTGTGCATGTGTGCCTGTGCATGTATGCCTCTGTGTGTTTGCATGTGTGTTCCTTGGTGCACATGTACATGTGTGCCTGTGTGTATGTGTCTGTGTCTCATGTGGGTCACACATGGAGACCAGAGGGAAAGTCAGGTGTCCTGCTCTGTCACTCTGATTTCCTTAGGCTGGGTCCCTGGATCTGCAGTGAGGCTGGCAGCTGGGGTTACAGACCCATGTGGATAACCATGCACAACTCTTTAGTTTTTTATTTTTATTTTATTTTTATATTTTTGAGACAGGGTCACATCATGTGACTCTGACTAGCCTGGAACTTACTCTATAGATCACCAGGCTGGTCTTGAACTCACAGAGATCCACCTGCCTCTCTTTCCCGAGAGCTAGGACTGAAGGTGTGAGCCACCACACCTGGCAAGCACAGCTTTTAAAACATTTAGTACATTTTAATCACTTTTTTGTTTGTTTTTTCAAGACAGAGTTTCTCTGTGTAGCCCTGGCTGTCCAGGAACTCACTCTGTAGTCCAGGCTGGCCTTGAACTCGCAGAGATCTGCCTGCCTCTGCCTCCTGAGTCTGGGATTAAAGGTGTGTGCCACCACTGCCTGGCCCTTTAATTGCTTCTTTTGTGCATGTATATGTGTGCATGTGTGTGCACACATGTGTCACGGTACATATGTGACGATCAGAGGGCAATTTGTGGGAGTTGATTCTCTTTCTATCAGGTCTGGCATGACAAAAAGCACCTCTACCCATTGAACTATCTTGCCAGTTTTCCGCCTTTTAACTTGGCTTCTGGGGATTTGAACTCAAGTCTTTATGCTTGCCCCAAAAGTGTTTTTATCCACTGAGAAATTTCTCCAGCCCCTAAAGAGCTTGATTCTCTTTCTGCCTTGTGTGTGTGAACAAATGTGGTCCTGAGTCATGGCATTCTCCAGAGATCAGCAAGTGAAGCTGGGGGAGGCTCGGGGTGGCATCTTTCTTGGGTGAAGATATTCCCTCTCTTGGGACTTAGGATTGAATTACATTCTGGAAGAAAGAGGAGAACAGAGAGCCCAGGAAATGTGGCTCAGGAACCAGTATAATGTGGCAAGTAGAGAAAGTTCTAGAATCTGTAAAACTTGCAACCAATTTGCTTTGGCTGCTTTTAGTTATTTATAAATGAATATGGGGGTTAGAGTGATGGTTAAGTGTTCACTTCTCAGTACCAAATACAGGCTCACAATAGCCTGTTTCTCCAGCCCAGAGGATCTGGTGCCCTTTTCTGGCCATCACTGGCAATTGCACACATGTTCACGCAATACAGATACACATACAAATAATTAAAAACAAGATAAATCTTAAAAAATTATATAATTTTATTTACATAGGAAAAATTAGAATTCACCAAAAAAGCCTTAATTTTACCCGATCTTAGAAAGAAACTTAAAGCTAAGCATGACCTTGTAAAGACAGATGGTCTATATTAAAAACAGTGCTGTCCCTGGAAATGGAATGCCATCTTTCTCAGAAGAGTGTTTGAAAATGGTAAAATTCAGTCCAGTGTCTAAGCAATCATTGCAGGAAAGGGCACGCGGGGCACTGTCCTTGGTGCTGAATCGGACTTAGGCGTTCTGGGAGGCACCGCCTGCTGTCATGACACGCCGGCTGTAGTTCCGCTGTAGTTTCCACACTGTTGGAGCTTCCAGCACTGCGGTCTCTCCGGTGTTCACTCTTTCTACTACAGGGTCTATTTCCCAACAAATCCCCGTGGGGAATTCTCAGTGGAGGACGTGTTCCAACATGCTTGACCCAGTGGGGCTCTCCTCAGTCCTCAGCTCCACGGTTCCATGCGAAACCGCTTACAGTGACGTCATGACGACCTGGGGCCTCTGGATCTGGATCTGAAAAGAGGAACAGAAGTGGGCGAGGGCCGAGCACAGGAGAAATCTAGTTTTTGGAAACACTTAAGACTTGGGCCCACAACCCTGCAACTATTCAGACCCAAAATCAGGGTTAGGGGTTGGGGTCCTACCAGGTAGAAGGGACGACGGAGGGCTTAGGGCACCGGAGGTGGGTGGTTCATCCGGGTCATTCTTACCTTTTCGTCAGGGTTTATATTACGCAAGGCATCAAAGTTGCTGTACACAGAGCCCAAGTTGATGTAGTCTTCTCGTTCTAAGGGAGGAAGAACCCCAAAGAAACGGGGTCACAAAGACAAACAATCATCAGTTCCTTGAGCCCCAATGATTGGGAGGGTGTTCGTCCCATACCCAGGAAACAAAAGCCAATGGGAGTGCGGTAGACTGCTTGAATCAGTTGCTCCCCAATACCTCCCTGAAGTAATCATTTTAAAGCTACAGTCGGGTGTGTGTGTGTGGGGGGGGGGGTCCGTGCCTGTAATAACAGGACTAAAGAGGCAGAGGCAGGAGGATGACAAGTTTGAGGGTACTATGGAATATAGGGAGAGAGTGTGTCTCAAGAATGATGTAGACAAGACTGGCTTTGATTCACAGGTCCACTTCCTTCTGCCTCCCGAATGCCAGAATTAAAGGTCTCCACTACCAGGCCCGTCATTGTTTGCTTTCTGAGACAGGGTCTCACGTGTCTCGGGCTGGCCTCAACTTCACAATGTAGTGAGGGATGACCCTCTTCTGTGCTGGGGTAACGCAGGCGCACCGCCACATGTGATTTATGTGGTACCGGAAATCAAAACTAGGACTTCCTACACCCTAAGCAAGCCCTCCACTCACTGACTCACATCCCCAGTCCCGTTTCTGGAAATTATAATGTTTGCGTTTAACAAACTACACTGCTAACCTCTTTGCTGAGTTGTAAGTCTCTTGGTGATGGGCATATTTGCCCCTGGTCTCTCCTCTATATCCCCATAGGCATGTATGTTCCAGAGAAATGTATACCATCGACTGGCTCCGTGCTTCCCCTAGGGTGTTGCTACAATACCCATGTTGTATCTCACCCAGGCTCTAGGTGAGCTTTTGAAGGCGGCACCAAGTGTTCAGGGATGGCAAATGATCCGGGTACCTTTCTCGGGGCTCCTATGTCTCCCACCCTATCTGAGTCTGAGCTCCGCAGAGATTGCCAGTACCTTCGTTGTGGTCAAAACCCATGTTGTTGAAGGTGCCAGGAGTTCTGCCTTCCTCTTCATTCCACTTTTGCATCTGAGTCACTCTGGAACGTTCCCTGTTGGTGGAAAACACCAGGGGACCCAGTTAAGCTTACAGAGTAGAGACAACGGGCCCGGGATGAGCCACATCCGGAGAGAGAACATGGAGAAGAGGATTTGGATGGCGAAGGAAGGGGGGGCCAGCCGCTTACCTTTGCGCCTCTCTTCTGTAGCGGAAGGAGAACACGGCCAGGATAACGAGGACCACAACCAGCACAGCCACCCCGGCTCCCACGAGCCCATAGACCAGGCTTTTCTGGATGCCCCAGTCGCAAGTCTCTCCGCTGTACCAGTGAGTGTCTGTGGTCAGGCAGCTGATGTGGGAGGAGGGCAGAGAGGAAAGAGTCAGTCATGCTCTGGCCTCGTGGGTTCCCAAGGGGAGGTGCACGTTTGAAGAGAGCTCTGAGGAGATGAACCTTGGCGCCTGTGGGGGCAGAGGCCAGCCTCGGGCCCTGCCTACCTGGTTTTTGGAGGCCAGGTCTTTACGTGGTTGTAGTGGTTGAGTGAAAAGTGGCCCCCACAGTGTTGGAACATTTGGCCGGCATTTGGTGGTGCTGTTTGGGGAGGGTATGGGACTTTTAAGAAGTGGAGCCTCGCTAGAGAAAGTACGTCTCAAAGTTGGCTTTGAGGGATTATGGTCTCTCACCATTCGAGATCCCCCCCCACCAAACAATAAACCAAAATAAATGCTCCCCCATAATTGCTTTTGGTCATGGCGTTTTATTGCCACCGTAGTTAATGGACTGGTTTGTAGCTTGTGTACTTCGTGCATGCAGTACCCACAGAAACCAGAAGAGGGCATCTTATTCCCCAGAATTGGAGTTAACAGTTGTGAGCCACCAGGTGGGAGCCAAGTCCTCTTCGAGAACAGCAAGCGCCCATGACTTCCAAGACATCTCTCTAGCCTATACCTGGCTTTTACACTGGTGCTGGGGATCCGAACTCAGGTCCTCATGCTTGTGTGGCAAGCACTTTACCAACCGAGCCATCTTCCTAACCCTTCCTAGTCCCCCGCTTTGAGACAGAGCCTCTCAGGGTAGCCAGACTGACTTTGAACTCATGATCTTCCTGGAACTTCTGCCTCCCAAGTGCTGGTATCACAGACATGCGCCACCTCACTCAGGGTTCAGTTTGCAATGCCCTTCTTTTTTTTCCTATGCTGTGAGTAGGCTGTACCGGCTTCCTGTCCCATGGAGACACATACAGCCTTCTTTATCTATTTCAATAGCAGGAGACTTTTTTTTTTCCAAGACAGGGTTACTCTGTGGCTTTGGAGCCTGTCCTAGAGCTAGCTCTGTAGACCAGGCTGGCCTCGAACTCCCAGTGCTGGGATTAAAGGTGTGCACCACCACCGCCCGGCAGGAGACATTTTTAAAAATTATAAAATTACATTTATTCACTCTGTGTGTGTTTGTGTGTATGTGTGTGTGTGTGTGTGTACTGTGTGTACTGTGGAGGTCAGAGAGCAACTTGCAAATGTTGGTTCAACTCATTAGGCTTAGCGGCAAGCCCTTTAACCCACTGAGACACCTCTCGGGATGTGGGGTGCACGTTCTTTCTCTGGAAAGGAAGCCCTGTGTTCTCTGCTAGACTGGGACCCTGAAGCTTGAGCGTCCACTGCTCATTCTGTCTTGAAGTTTCTCCTGACCCACTTTTGTCGACTCTGGACTTGGCCATGCATGTCCCTTTAACCCTGCAACCTGATTCTTTCACAACCGTATACTCTCAAGAGGTGCAGCATGTTATATATAATAATCTCATGACCTTGGCCTCCAGGAGAGGAGCCTCCCCACGGGCAAAGTGCGGTACTCACAGACACTGGGGGCCACTCCGCTGCAGCTGGCACTTGCCATAGTGGCAGTCCAGGGAGGATTTGTACCCTGTTGAGCAGGCCGTGATACAGTGCCACTTTTCGTCCTTTTGTTCCGTGAAGACATACTGTTCATACTCTTCCCCAGCCTGCTGTCGGCATTTCTCTGAGGGGGACGTGGAAAAACAGCTAAGAATCAAGAGGCCCAGCTCCTCCCTGCCAGGCTCCTCCCTGCCCCGCTCCTCCCTGCCCTGCTCCTCCCTGCCCTGCTCCTCCCTGCCCAGCTCCTCCCTGCCTCCCTCCTCCCTGACAGGCTTCTCTATCTTCCCGAGCCTTTTCCAGAACAGCTCACATTACTTACCTTCAGGAGTGATGATGCCTGAAATGTTTTGCACTTGGGTGTCTTCTGCATTGAAACACAGTAAAAATGCTGTGGAGGAAACACATACCGCCCATTATCACAGAGGCTCCTGTGTGGGAGAGGGGAAGGAGCGAGACAGTGCACTGTGAAGTGTTCTCCTTAGGCTCCTGTGTTTGGACACTGTCTGGGGAGGTTGTGGAAACTTTCAGGCACGGGGCTTCCCTGGGTCAAAGTAGGAGCCAGGCTAGAAGGCTGTAGACTACTCCGCTTTCACCGGAGCCTTCTGCCTTGAGGGCTTTTTTTTTTTTTTTTTTTTTTTTTTGACAGGGTCTCACTCTGTGGATAACCCTGGCTGCCCTGGAATTCAATATGTGACTGGGTTGCCCTCCAACTCACAGAGGTCTGCCTGCCTGAGGCCCCAAGGCTGTGTTTAAAGACATATGCTACCACATAGGCCAGGCCAGGACTTCATGAGGAACAGCAGACAGCAGGTGTCTGATCTGCTTCCATAGTGCTGCCTGCCCATCCAGGGGAGGCTGTATCCCCACAAGTCAGGGAACCGAAAACATCCTTCCGCTTTGGCCTTGTTTCTGATAGTTTTGACAACAGCCCTTTAACTAGTGGGCATGGAAGCTGGAAATCGCAGGGGTTGGGGTGGGGTTGGGGGTTGTCAGGCTTTCAGCTGTCTGATGGGCCCCACTCACAGGGTCCTGTGGCTCAGAGGGTCTCAGAGGGTCCACAGCCCCTCTGCCAGGATCCCCCACACAGCTCACTGTACAGCCAGTCACGTGTTGCCCCATCCGTCCCAAATCCCCTTGCTGTTGATGCTCTGCAGGAATTCTCCATCTCTGCACTGCTCCGTGCCCTCCCACCCAAGGCTTTCTCCCAGTGTGACGGGAGTGACAAGCTGGACACAGATCCCAGTGACCCACAACCTCCACTTGCCTTCCTTTCCTAAACCTCACCTGCCCCAGGGTCAAAAGTCAGGGGAATTAAGGAGTCACCCTCTGAGAGCCCTTCCCTCCAGGAGGGCCTTACCTGTACAGTTATTATCAGCACCGCTTACTTGAACCTGGGTTGCATTTATGATTGTTTCCTGCACATTACTTTTGATGTTCTGTAACACGTCTTCATATTTTGGGGTGTACTGGGTCTTCAAGATGACATCATAATCCACAATGATACTGCCGTTCCTGGGGAGATAGGGGTGGTACCCTTGAGCATCCTCCTATGGTCATCCCTGCTACTCACCTTTGACATCCTTTGCCTCCTCTATACTCCTGGGAGGAATCCCAGGCAAGAAGATTTAAGTACAGAGAAAGATTTTATCAGGAAAGACAGAGACAGAGGGAGAGAGCGAGATGAGAGAGACAGACACACTGAGAGAAACAGACAGACAGACACACATACACATACATGTATTAGGGAGCACTGGAGAGATAGCTCAGTTAGTTAATGAAGTCTCTGATGGACAAACACAGAATTCAGGCGCTCAGGTAAAAGTTGGCTGTCATGACATACATCTGTAACCCCGGCACCAGGGAGAGCAGAGGCTGGTGGATTGCTTGATCTCCTGTGAGTCTCACTGAATTGATGAGCCCCTGGCTAAATGAGAGACCTGGTTACTAAAAATAGGGTGGAGAGAGAGATTGGGGGAGACACCCGATGTGGGCCTCTGGCTTCCACATCTATTCACACACATGTACCTATACACACACACACACAGATGGAGGCACGTGTATGTCTCTGAGCATACACACACACACACACACACACACACACACACACACAAAATATGTATGAGTGGTGGAGAGATAGCTGAGACTTGCACCCAGAAAAAGTCACCAAGGACCCAGGGAAAAGACACCACCCTTGATCTCAGACTTCCCGCCACCAGAGCAGTGGGCGTAGTAGAGATTTCTGTTGTTCGAGCCACAACTGCTGGCATTCCCGTGCAGCACCCACTGTGGGCTAACACAGGTAGCCCCCCAATTGGTCTCTGTAATCATGACTGTTGTTTCTACACAAAAGACCTTCTTTTTGCTAGACCCGGGTACTCACTTCAGCCCTTTGATGATAACCCCGTCATACTCAGGAATTCCAGCATAAATCTTCGCCATCTGAAAGGCAAGGGGCCAATGTGTCATCCTGGAAGTCCCATCTTGGGGACTTTCTGTGGGATAGCAGTACTCCCCAGTCCTCATCCCAACTGCTAGCAACCGGGAGATCAAATAGAGAGTCCCTCGCCAGAGACCAGGCTTGTTCCGGTACCTTCTTGCAGCTCCCAGGCAAGTCTTGCTTCCCATCCCCTACCTGCCCTGGCTAGCTGAGAAGCACACACATTTAACAACTCAGTTGCCATCTTAACCCCTCCCTCCAGATTCCTCTGGGTGGTGGTGGGGGGTGGGATGGGGCTGTGTGGTCTCCTGGGGTTACCTGTTCTGAGAATGTCTCATTGAACTTCTTGAATTCATCGGATTCTCGGTCATTTAGCTCTTCGCTGAAGTTTTGGCTGGTCACTCTGACAGTCACTTCCACGGTGGCAGAGACTGTGGGCTCTAAGAGGACAGACAGAAGCACCGACCACTGAGAGGGACCCTTACCAAAGAAATCCCGATCCCCGGAAGTCCCAGTCTGGACGCAGGGAGGAGGGGCATACTGTATTCCTTAGGGCTTATGGATGGTAGAAAAATCGATTGTATATTGTACATTTCATAAATGAAAGTTGTATTTAACCTGGGCAGTCATCTGGGATGTAACTCAGTGGTAGGATACTTGCTTAGTAAGATCAAAGCTTGGGTTTTGCCACCAGCAACACAACACACAAACACACACACAACACAACACAACACACACAACATTTGATCCACCTAACCTACAGCCCACTCCTGTTCAACCACACAGCCAGCTGTGAAAGGTCAGGTGATCATTTTTTCCCTTTTCTTTTCTTTATTCATCACACCTAGTCTGATGGTTTTTCTGTGTGTCCATGTGTCTGCCTGTGGGAGAAAGAGGGTAGTTTCACACGCCACCAGCCCAGGAGAAGACCCATGTTCAAGATCTGAAGTAGGATTTCCACAGAGCAGCTATTGCTCTTCCAGCGTGGGAAAGTCAAGCAAATTCTGGCTGTGGGCGACTGTGCACCTGCAGCTGCGCGTTGAGGCCAGAGGACGGCATCAGCTGCCGCCATGCCGCCACTGTCTTTGTTTTGGGGGATAGGGTCTCTCAGTGGATGGGAAATGGATGAGCTGGTCAGCTAGCCCCGGGGTCTGCTCGGCTCTGCCTCCCCCACAACTGGGGTTACAAGCATGCACAACCACACCCCCTCTTTTTTCTACACAGGTCTTAGGGATTGAACTCAGGCCCTCAAGCCTGTCAAGGCAAGCATTTTACCAACCAAGCTGCCCTCCAGTCCAGAGTAAGACACTATGACTCCAACACGGTAAATAGGGGGGCCACCCCTCTGCAACCATGGTGAGTTAATAGCTTGGGTTTTTCAAAGATTTATTTATTTATTATGTATACAGTGTTCTGTCTGCATGTGTGCCTGCAGGTCAGAAGGGGGCATCAGATCCCCTGGAACTGGAGTTACAGATGACTGTGGGCTGCCGTGTGGGTGCTGGGAACTGAACCTGGGTCCTTTGCAAGAGCAGCCAGTGCTCATAACCACGGAGGCATCTCTCCAGGCCCCATGTATTTATTCTTATATGTGTACCGCGTGTGGTGTGTGTGTGTGTGTGTGTGTTTGTGTGTGTGTGTGTGCCTGTGGAGATGTGAGAGCCATGTGCACCTGCACAATGGAGGTCAGAAGTCAATGTCGAGTGTCTCTCTTTGTCGATTTCCACCTTATTTTTTGAGACAGGGTCTCTCGTGGGACCGGGAACTCACCAGTTTGGGTATGCTGGCTGGCCGGTGAGTTCCAGGGGCCCCACTGCTCTCTGCCCTCCCCCATTTGGGATTATGGGTGTGCACTGCCACACCCAGCTTTTTAATTGGGTGCCGGGCACCAAACAGTTCTTCCTGCTCCTGTGACAAGTACTTTACCAGGCCTTGATTCATTCTGTTTATGTTATATTTAGTTTTTATTTGTATGTGGAGGGGGTGAATGCGTGGAGGTCAGAGGACAGCTTGTGGGAGCCAGTTTTCTCCTTCCACCATGTAGGTTCCTGGACTTGAACTCTTGTCTTCAGGCTGGTGGCAAGAGCCATCTTGCCTGCATTTGTTTTGTTTTCTTTTTTTTATTTAGATTTTTTTTTAACACTTTTTGTCACCATGTAAATGTAAAATATGGGGTGACCAGAGTGATGGTTCTGAGATCAACAGTGTGTATCGCTTTTGTGGGAGACTGGAGTTCTGTTCCCGGCAGCCCAGCCAGGCAGTCATAATTCCTGTAACTCAAGTTCTAGGCGGTCCGACTCCTTCTTCTGCCCTCTGTTGGTGCCCACACATGCGGCACATGCATACGTGCACACACACACACCACATGTGCTCACACACATAAATAACTCTTTAAAAAGATATGGGCCATGAGAGGTAGGGCAAGGACAGGTGCTGGCGGGAGATTTCTATGCTGGGCACTGGGGAGGGAGATCCCTGTCTACATCTGTCATGTGACTGAATTTTCACTCACCTATCTCGATGCTCTCCACTACCTCCTCACAACGGGGTCCGTAGAAGAGGCTGGTGCACTGACATTTGAGGCCGTCCCATACCCCTCCATTCTGACAGATGACAATCGGAACAGGATCCTGACAGCGATCCCCCGAGAAGCCATTGGGGCAAAGGCAGACCTTCCCTGTCCAGGATCCTCCATTCAAGCAGTCCACTGCAAAAGACAAAGCCAAGATCTAGTACACATTGGGGTAGCATGCCATAACTTGACGTGTTCCAGACGCTGCTGCCCCTCACTCCTTCTCTCCTTTTTCATCGTCTTCTTTTTCCCTGCCTCCCTAATTTTCCGAGATGGTTTCTCACTATATAGCACAGGCTGGCTTTGAACAGGCTTCAGCCTCCCGAGTCCTGGGATTAGAGGCCAGGAATGTACCACCATGTCTGGTTTACACCCAGTGACCCTGTGAAATTGGACATTCGGACAAGACCGTCAGCATCGCCCTCGCTTCGCAGACAGAAGCAATGTAGACAGAATCCTATCCAAGCACCCAGAGAGCTTGATCTGACCCTGAGTCCAGCTCCCATCAGGTCGTCTCACAGGCATGGAAGAGAAAGCAAACGGGAAGGAATGGCATTATATCGGAAACAGAGACAGAGACGGGGTGAATCCGGGGCGGCTGACCAGTGCTGAGTCCACCAAAGATAAATAGGCATCAACTTGCCCCTCCATGCCCAGGAAGTCTGGGGTGCTGTGTTGGGCTGTTTTGACTGTTTATAACTTCTGCTAGTCAGAGACAGAGAGCTCAACAGAGAGACATGGTAGGACAGGTGGCAGCTACTCCTAACTCCTTGGGATCTGTGCAGCTCAACTTCAAATAGTTTAAATTCTCATTGTCTTATGTATTTATTAAATGCAATGTGTGTGTGTGTGTGTGTGTGTGTGTGTGTGTGTAGTCTGGATGTTGTGCCGCGTGTCTTTCTCAACTGCTCTCTACCATTTATGTTTAGGTCATGACTCACTGACCCTGGAGCTGCCTGATTTCACTAGCCTTGCTGGCCAGTGAGCCTCGGGGATCCTCCTGTGTCTGCCTTAGACTAGTCTCCTCAGAACATGGGTTCTGGAGATCTGAGCTCAGGTCCGTCTCCTTCCATAGCTGGCGCTTCACTGACTAAGCCATCTCCCCAAACCATTGATTCACTCAGTTTTAGTCTCTCTCTCTCTCTGTCTGTCTCTCTCTCTCTATAATATATTGTCAGAACTAGGCTGGGCTGTACTATGTAACCCTGGCTGTCCTCAAATTATCACTTTTCTGGCTTTGGATTGCTGAGTGGACGATTACAGGCTCCAGCCACGATTTTCAACGTTAGTTCATGTATTTGAGCATTTATTTAGTAAATTATTGAATACGTAGGAGGCCCTTTGTCAGTGTAGGAGGGCGACTGGAAAGAATACCTTACACTGTAAACTGCACACTTCACACAAAGTACAAATGACAATAGATTATAATAGAACAAGATTAGAGAGCAAGGAGAGACAGTGCAAGGGAGCACATCACATCAAAATCAGAGAGACACAACACAAGGAAGAGAGGGAGACCCACTACTGCAGGATGAGAAGGGATAGAATCAAGTCAAACTATTGATAAGAAAGCAAATAAAACATGTGATTGTCAGTGGCAAACAGATCTTGAAAAACAAAGAAAACAACTGACCCTAAATACTGAAGTATCAATGACCAAATATTGGGGAGGGAAAAAAAAGACACAGATTTAATGACATCATTGAACGTTTTTACAAAGGGGATGACCCAGAGAGACAAATAGAGAAACAAGAAAAAGATAAAAAATAACATTCAAAGATTGAAGCAAGCATGCCTGTGTTATATGTGTGTGAGTGTGTATAGTTTCTGTGAGTATCTGTGGATGTGTGTGAGTGTCTGTCTATATGCATGTGTGTGTGAGTATTTGAGAGTATGTGTGTGAATATGAGTGTGCAAAGGTGTGAATGTGTGTGAGGGTATGTGAGTGTCTATGTATGTGTAAGTGTGTCTGAAGATGAATGGGAAAACTGTGCCCTGCTGTAGCACATGAAGGATACTACAATAGAAGCAGGAAGAAGCGAAGAAAAAAATTAACAATCTACGACAGAAGAGATAAAAATTGTAAAAGTAATAACAAAACACCAGAACTGTGCCAAAATAAAAGGAGAAAATAGAAATGGAAAAAAAGAGAGAAGTGTGAGGTTCATAAAAAAAGATATACAAAATGACATATGCAGGGGCAGAATTGAAATACAGGAAACAGAAAGGGTGAGAGATAAGAGAAAAAGAACAAAAGAGAACAGAAGTTACAGAGAAGAAGATGGGGAGAGAAGTATGAAAAATGTGGAGAAAAACATTGAAAAAATGCAAAGCAAAAACTAAAAAAAGATAAAAAAAGAGAGGAGAGAAGAAAAAAAAATCTTACCCATAGTGGTGGTGAAAACAGAGGTGGTAGTAGGTTTAGTAGTAGTGGTGGGGGTAACAGTAGTGGTGGGGGTCACAGTAGTGGTGGGGGTCACAGTAGTGGTGGGGGTCACAGTAGTGGTGGGGGTCACAGTAGTGGTGGTGATCTCAGTGGTGGTGACGTCAGCAGTGGTGGTGATCTCAGTGGTAGTGATGTCAGCTGTGGTGGTGATCTCAGTGGTGGTGACGTCAGCAGTGGTGGTGATCTCAGTGGTGGTGATGTCAGCAGTGGTGGTGATCTCAGGAGTTGTACTGATCTCAGTGGTGGTGACGTCAGCAGTGGTGGTGATTTCAGTGGTGGTGACGTCAGCAGTGGTGGTGATCTCAGTGGTGGTGACGTCAGCAGTGGTGGTGATCTCAGTGGTGGTGACGTGAGGATTGGTGGTGATCTCAGTGGTGGTGACGTCAGCAGTGGTGGTGATCTCAGTGGTGGTGATGTCAGCAGTGGTGGTGATCTCAGGAGTTGTACTGATCTCAGTGGTGGTGACGTCAGCAGTGGTGGTGATTTCAGTGGTGGTGACGTCAGCAGTGGTGGTGATTTCAGTGGTGGTGACGTCAGCAGTGGTGGTGATCTCAGTGGTGGTGATATCAGCAGTGGTGGTGATCTCAGTGGTGGTGACGTCAGCAGTGGTGGTGATCTCAGTGGTGGTGACGTCAGGATTGGTGGTGATCTCAGTGGTGGTGACGTCAGCAGTGGTGGTGATCTCAGTGGTGGTGACGTCAGCAGTGGTGGTGATCTCAGTGGTGGTGACGTCAGCAGTGGTGGTGATGTCGGCGGTGGTGACGTCAGCAGTGGTGGTGATCTCGGTGGTGGTGACGTCAGCAGTGGTGGTTATCTCAGTGGTGGTGACGTCAGCAGTGGTGGTGATGTCAGTGGTGGTGACATCAGCAGTGGTGGAGATGTCGGTGGTGGTGACGTCAGCAGTGGTGGTGATCTCGGTGGTGGTGACGTCAGCAGTGGTGGTGATCTCAGTGGTGGTGACGTCAGGATTGGTGGTGATCTCAGTGGTGGTGACATCAGCAGTGGTGGTGATCTCAGTGGTGGTGATGTCAGCAGTGGTAGTGATCTCAGGACTTGTGGTGACCTCAGTGCTGGTGACGTCAGCAGTGGTGGTGATCTCAGTGGTGGTGACGTCAGCACTGGTGGTGATCTCAGTGGTGGTGATGTCAGCTGTGGTGGTGATCTCAGTGGTGGTGACGTCAGCAGTGGTGGTGATCTCAGGAGTTGTAGTGATCTCAGTGGTGGTGACGTCAGCAGTGGTGGTGATTTCAGTGGTGGTGATATCAGCAGTGGTGGTGATGTCAGTGGTGGTGACGTCAGCAGTGGTGGTGATGTCGGTGGTGGTGACGTCAGCAGTGGTGGTGATGTCGGTGGTGGTGACGTCAGCAGTGGTGGTGATCTCGGTGGTGGTGACGTCAGCAGTGGTGGTTATCTCAGTGGTGGTGACGTCAGGATTGGTGGTGATCTCAGTGGTGGTGACATCAGCAGTGGTGGTGATCTCAGTGGTGGTGACGTCAGCAGTGGTGGTGATTTCAGTGGTGGTGACGTCAGGATTGGTGGTGATCTCAGTGGTGGTGACATCAGCAGTGGTGGTGAACTGAGTGGTGGTGACGTCAGCAGTGGTGGTGATTTCAGTGGTGGTGACGTCAGCAGTGGTGGTGATGTCGGTGGTGGTTACATCAGCAGTGGTGGTGATGTCGGTGGTGGTGACATCAGCAGTGGTGGTGATCTCGGTGGTGGTGACGTCAGCAGTGGTGGTGATCTCAGTGGTGGTGACGTCAGCAGTGGTGGTGATCTCAGTGGTGGTGACGTCAGCAGTGGTGGTGATCTCAGTGGTGGTGACGTCAGCAGTGGTGGTGATCTCAGTGGTGGTGACGTCAGCAGTGGTGGTGATCTCAGTGGTGGTGATGTCAGCAGTGGTGGTGATCTCAGGAGTTGTACTGATCTCAGTGGTGGTGACGTCAGCAGTGGTGGTGATTTCAGTGGTGGTGACGTCAGCAGTGGTGGTGATCTCAGTGGTGGTGATCTCAGTGGTGGTGACATCAGCAGTGGTGGTGATCTCAGTGGTGGTGACGTCAGCAGTGGTGGTGATCTCAGTGGTGGTGACGTCAGCAGTGGTGGTGATCTCAGTGGTGGTGACGTCAGGATTGGTGGTGATCTCAGTGGTGGTGACGTCAGCAGTGGTGGTGATCTCAGTGGTGGTGACGTCAGCAGTGGTGGTGATCTCAGTGGTGGTGACGTCAGCAGTGGTGGTGATGTCGGCGGTGGTGACGTCAGCAGTGGTGGTGATCTCGGTGGTGGTGACGTCAGCAGTGGTGGTTATCTCAGTGGTGGTGACGTCAGCAGTGGTGGTGATGTCAGTGGTGGTGACATCAGCAGTGGTGGAGATGTCGGTGGTGGTGACGTCAGCAGTGGTGGTGATCTCGGTGGTGGTGACGTCAGCAGTGGTGGTGATCTCAGTGGTGGTGACGTCAGGATTGGTGGTGATCTCAGTGGTGGTGACATCAGCAGTGGTGGTGATCTCAGTGGTGGTGATGTCAGCAGTGGTAGTGATCTCAGGACTTGTGGTGACCTCAGTGCTGGTGACGTCAGCAGTGGTGGTGATCTCAGTGGTGGTGACGTCAGCACTGGTGGTGATCTCAGTGGTGGTGATGTCAGCTGTGGTGGTGATCTCAGTGGTGGTGACGTCAGCAGTGGTGGTGATCTCAGGAGTTGTAGTGATCTCAGTGGTGGTGACGTCAGCAGTGGTGGTGATTTCAGTGGTGGTGATATCAGCAGTGGTGGTGATGTCAGTGGTGGTGACGTCAGCAGTGGTGGTGAACTGAGTGGTGGTGACGTCAGCAGTGGTGGTGATTTCAGTGGTGGTGACGTCAGCAGTGGTGGTGATGTCGGTGGTGGTTACATCAGCAGTGGTGGTGATGTCGGTGGTGGTGACATCAGCAGTGGTGGTGATCTCGGTGGTGGTGACGTCAGCAGTGGTGGTGATCTCAGTGGTGGTGACGTCAGCAGTGGTGGTGATCTCAGTGGTGGTGACGTCAGCAGTGGTGGTGATCTCAGTGGTGGTGACGTCAGCAGTGGTGGTGATCTCAGTGGTGGTGACGTCAGCAGTGGTGGTGATCTCAGTGGTGGTGATGTCAGCAGTGGTGGTGATCTCAGGAGTTGTACTGATCTCAGTGGTGGTGACGTCAGCAGTGGTGGTGATTTCAGTGGTGGTGACGTCAGCAGTGGTGGTGATCTCAGTGGTGGTGATCTCAGTGGTGGTGATCTCAGTGGTGGTGACGTCAGCAGTGGTGGTGATCTCAGTGGTGGTGACGTCAGGATTGGTGGTGATCTCAGTGGTGGTGACGTCAGCAGTGGTGGTGATCTCAGTGGTGGTGATGTCAGCAGTGGTGGTGATCTCAGGAGTTGTACTGATCTCAGTGGTGGTGACGTCAGCAGTGGTGGTGATTTCAGTGGTGGTGACGTCAGCAGTGGTGGTGATCTCAGTGGTGGTGATATCAGCAGTGGTGGTGATCTCAGTGGTGGTGACGTCAGCAGTGGTGGTGATCTCAGTGGTGGTGACGTCAGGATTGGTGGTGATCTCAGTGGTGGTGACGTCAGCAGTGGTGGTGATCTCAGTGGTGGTGACGTCAGCAGTGGTGGTGATCTCAGTGGTGGTGACGTCAGCAGTGGTGGTGATGTCGGCGGTGGTGACGTCAGCAGTGGTGGTGATCTCGGTGGTGGTGACGTCAGCAGTGGTGGTTATCTCAGTGGTGGTGACGTCAGCAGTGGTGGTGATGTCAGTGGTGGTGACATCAGCAGTGGTGGTGATGTCGGTGGTGGTGACATCAGCAGTGGTGGTGATCTCGGTGGTGGTGACGTCAGCAGTGGTGGTGATCTCAGTGGTGGTGACGTCAGGATTGGTGGTGATCTCAGTGGTGGTGACATCAGCAGTGGTGGTGATCTCAGTGGTGGTGATGTCAGCAGTGGTAGTGATCTCAGGACTTGTGGTGACCTCAGTGGTGGTGACGTCAGCAGTGGTGGTGATCTCAGGAGTTGTAGTGATCTCAGTGGTGGTGACGTCAGCAGTGGTGGTGATTTCAGTGGTGGTGATATCAGCAGTGGTGGTGATGTCAGTGGTGGTGACGTCAGCAGTGGTGGTGATGTCAGTGGTGGTGACGTCAGCAGTGGTGGTGATGTCGGTGGTGGTGACGTCAGCAGTGGTGGTGATCTCGGTGGTGGTGACGTCAGCAGTGGTGGTTATCTCAGTGGTGGTTTCGTCAGGATTGGTGGTGATCTCAGTGGTGGTGACATCAGCAGTGGTGGTGATCTCAGTGGTGGTGACGTCAGCAGTGGTGGTGATTTCAGTGGTGGTGACGTCAGGATTGGTGGTGATCTCAGTGGTGGTGACATCAGCAGTGGTGGTGATCTCAGTGGTGGTGACGTCAGCAGTGGTGGTGATTTCAGTGGTGGTGACGTCAGCAGTGGTGGTGATGTCGGTGGTGGTTACATCAGCAGTGGTGGTGATGTCGGTGGTGGTGACATCAGCAGTGGTGGTGATCTCGGTGGTGGTGACATCAGCAGTGGTGGTTATCTCGGTGGTGGTGACGTCAGGATTGGTGGTGATCTCAGTGGTGGTGACATCAGCAGTGGTGGTGATCTCAGTGGTGGTGATGTCAGCAGTGGTAGTGATCTCAGGACTTTTAGTGACCTCAGTGGTGGTGACGTCAGCAGGGGTGGTGATCTCAGTGGTGGTGACGTCAGCAGTGGTGGTGATCTCAGTGGTGGTGATGTCAGCTGTGGTGGTGATCTCAGTGGTGGTGACGTCAGCAGTGGTGGTGATCTCAGTGGTGGTGACGTCAGCAGTGGTGGTGATGTCAGTGGTGGTGACGTCAGCAGTGGTGGTGATGTCAGTGGTGGTGGCGTCAGCAGTGGTGGTGATCTCAGTGGTGGTGACGTCAGGATTGGTGGTGACGTCAGCAGTGGTGGTGATCTCAGTGGTGGTGACGTCAGCAGTGGTGGTGATGTCAGTGGTGGTGATCTCAGTGGTGGTGACGTCAGCAGTGGTGGTGATCTCAGTGGTGGTGACGTCAGCAGTGGTGGTGATGTCAGTGGTGGTGACGTCAGCAGTGGTGGTGATCTCAGGAGTTGTAGTGATCTCAGTGGTGGTGACGTCAGCAGTGGTGGTGATCTCAGGACTTGTAGTGATCTCAGTGGTGGTGGCGTCAGCAGTGGTGGTGATCTCAGTGGTGGTGACGTCAGGATTGGTGGTGATCTCAGTGGTGGTGACGTCAGCAGTGGTGGTGATCTCAGGAGTTGTAGTGATCTCAGTGGTGGTGGAGTCAGCAGTGGTGGTGATGTCAGTGGTGGTGACGTCAGCAGTGGTGATGATTTCAGGAGTTGTATTGATCTCAGTGGTGGTGACGTCAGCAGTGGTGATGATCTCAGTGGTGGTGACGTCAGCAGTGGTGGTGATGTCAGTGGTGGTGACGTCAGCAGTGGTGGTGATGTCAGTGGTGGTGACGTCAGCAGTGGTGGTGATCTCAGGAGTGGTGGTGATCTCAGTGGTGGTGACATCAGCAGTGGTGGTGATGTCAGTGGTGGTGACGTCAGCAGTGGTGGTGATCTCAGGAGTGGTGGTGATGTCAGTGGTGGTGACGTCAGCAGTGGTGGTGATCTCAGTGGTGGTGACATCAGCAGTAGTGGTGATCTCAGTGGTGGTGACGTCAGCAGTGGTGGTGATCTCAGTGGTGGTGACGTCAGCAGTGGTGGTGATCTCAGTGGTTGTGACGTCAGCAGTGGTGGTGATCTCAGTGGTGGTGACGTCAGGATTGGTGGTGATCTCAGTGTTGGTGACATCAGCAGTGGTAGTGATCTCAGTGGTGGTGATGTCAGCAGTGGTAGTGATCTCAGGACTTTTAGTGACCTCAGTGGTGGTGACGTCAGCAGTGTTGGTGATGTCAGTGGTGGTGACGTCAGCAGTGGTGGTGATCTCAGTGGTGGTAATGTCAGCTGTGGTGGTGATCTCAGTGGTGGTGACGTCAGCTGTGGTGGTGATCTCAGTGGTGGTGACGTCAGCAGTGGTGGTGATGTCAGTGGTGGTGACGTCAGCAGTGGTGGTGATGTCAGTGGTGGTGGCGTCAGCAGTGGTGGTGATCTCAGTGGTGGTGACGTCAGGATTGGTGGTGACGTCAGCAGTGGTGGTGATCTCAGTGGTGGTGACGTCAGCAGTGGTGGTGATGTCAGTGGTGGTGACGTCAGCAGTGGTGGTGATGTCAGTGGTGGTGGCGTCAGCAGTGGTGGTGATCTCAGTGGTGGTGACGTCAGCAGTGGTGGTGATCTCAGTGGTGGTGACGTCAGCAGTGGTGGTGATGTCAGTGGTGGTGATGTCAGTGGTGGTGACGTCAGCAGTGGTGGTGATGTCAGTGGTGGTGACGTCAGCCTTGGTGGTGATCTCAGGAGTGGTGGTGATCTCAGTGGTGGTGACATCAGCAGTGGTGGTGATGTCAGTGGTGGTGACGTCAGCAGTGGTGGTGACGTCAGCAGTGGTGGTGATCTCAGTGGTGGTGACGTCAGCAGTGGTGGTGATGTCAGTGGTGGTGACTTCAGCAGTGGTGGTGATCTCAGTGGTGGTGACGTCAGCAGTGGTGGTGATCTCAGTGGTTGTGACGTCAGGATTGGTGGTGATCTCAGTGGTGGTGACATCAGCAGTGGTGGTGATCTCAGTGGTGGTGACGTCAGCAGTGGTGGTGATCTCAGTGGTGGTGACGTCAGCAGTGGTGGTGATCTCAGTGGTGGTGACGTCAGGATTGGTGGTGATCTCAGTGGTGGTGACATCAGCAGTGGTGGTGATCTCAGTGGTGGTGATGTCAGCAGTGGTAGTGATCTCAGGACTTGTAGTGACCTCAGTGGTGGTGACGTCAGCAGTGGTGGTGACGTCAGCAGTGTTGGTGAAGTCAGTGGTGGTGACGTCAGCAGTGGTGGTGATCTCAGTGGTGGTGACATCAGCAGTAGTGGTGATCTCAGTGGTGGTGACGTCAGCAGTGGTGGTGATCTCAGTGGTGGTGACGTCAGCAGTGGTGGTGATCTCAGTGGTTGTGACGTCAGCAGTGGTGGTGATCTCAGTGGTGGTGACATCAGCAGTGGTGGTGATGTCAGTGGTGGTGACGCCAGCTGTGGTGGTGATGTCATTGGTGGTGACGTCAGCAGTGGTGGTGATCTCAGTGGTGGTGAGGTCAGCAGTGGTTGTGATCTCAGTGCTGGTGACGTCAGGAGTGGTGGTGATCCCAGTGGTGGTTATGTCAGGAGTGGTAGTGATGTCAGCAGTGGTGGTGATGTCAGTGGTGGGTACGTCAGCAGTGGTGGTGATCTCAGTGGTGGTGACGTCAGCAGTGGTTGTGATCTCAGTGGTGGTGATGACAGGTGTAGTGGTGACGTCAGCAGTGGTTGTGATCTCAGTGGTGGTGACATCAGGATTGGTGGTGATCTTAGTTGTGGTGACATCAGGAGTGGTAGTGATGTCAGGAGTGGTGATCTCAGTGGTGGTGACGTCAGCAGTGGTTGTGATCTCAGTGGTGGTGAAGTCAGCTGTCGTTATGATATCAGTGGTTGTGATCTCAGGAGTGGTAGTGATGTCAGGAGTTGTAGTGATATCAGTGGTGGTAATCTCAGTGGTGGTGATGTCAGTGCTGGTGACGTCAGAAGTGGTAGTGATGTCAGTGCTGGTTGTTTCAGTGCTGGTGACGTCAGAAGTGGTGGTGATCTCAGTGCTGGTGACGTCAGGAGTGGTGGTGATCTCAGTGCTGGTGACGTCAGAAGTGGTGGTGATCTCAGTGCTGGTGACGTCAGGAGTGGTGGTGGTCTTTGTGTTGGTGACGTCAGCTGTGGTGCTAATTTCAGTGGTGGTGATGTCAGTGTTGGTGACATCAGGAGTGGTGGTGATGTCAGTGCTGGTGACATCAGGAGTGGTGGTGATCTCAGTGCTGCTGACGTCAGTAGCGGTGATGATCTCAGTGGTGGTGGTCTCAGTGCTGGTGACATCAGGAGTGGTGGTGATGTCAGTGCTCGTGACATCAGGAGTTCTGGCAATCTTATTGGTGGTGACGTCAGGAGTTGTGGAGCTCTCAGTGGTGGTGGCGTCAGCAGTGGAGGTGACATTAGGAATTGGGGTCTCAGTGCCGCTCCTTTTTACCCGATGTTTCGTCTCTGCAATGTGAATCCCACAGTCATTAGTGCAGTTTTTACTCCACAGGAGCAGATGTCTATGAATTTTCCTATTTAATGTGTGTGTTTCACCTGCACAGTTGTCTGTGTCACTGTTTTTCTGTTTGTGAGCTTATTTTCTTAATGTTTTCATCTGTCAGTTTCTTTCATGTCACTATTTTTTTCTCGTTATTGCACGGGTATCGTATGTTCCTCTCGTGTCTGTCTGGTTTTGTGTTTTAATCCCTGCATCTCCGCTGTCCCAGTCTCCGTCACTGAACTTCTCCCTTTGTGAAAATGAGGCCTTTTTTCTATTATTGTCACGTCCTTACGTTTAGTATGTGAATTCTCATTTTCCACAGCAGTGTGGTTTATTTTAACTTCCTCTCCCCATTTTATTATCTTTTTTTCCCCTGCCTGTTCACTTGACATTTTGCGGGGCTGTTGTTTTGTGTGCCTGACCCTTTTCTTGAGATTTAAGGACCCGTTGGCTGAGGTTGTCCTGTCTTTTTCTCTCGGGTCCCATTGATTAATATTTGGTTGTTTTCCTGGCTGCAAACCTCCATATTCTCCCCTCTCACTCCATCCAAGTTCCACTTGGTCCCTTCCTCCCTCCATGGCTGTTTCTCTTTCCATTGCCTCCTCTGTCCTTTTGCTCTGCATGGGCCCAGCATTCACAGTCCGTAAGCTGAGATCTCTTTTGATCCCGTCTCGGTTATTCCCTGTTTTGCAGCATGGGACTCCTTCCCCATGTTTATGCATTGGCCTTGCCACTTCTGTGTTCCTGGTTCATTTTTTGTCAAGTTGTTACGTTAGAATTGTTTGGGAGAAGGAACTTTGATAGGGAAAATGCCTGTATCAAGTTGTATGTGGTAGGCAAGTGTGTGGCCCTTTATTCCCTTTTTACCCTTTTTTCTTTTTTTCCTTTTTTTTAAAAATTGAGGCAGGGTCTTACTAAGTAACTCTGGTTGGACTGGAACTCACAGAAATCCATCTGCTTTGGTCTTCCAAGTGATGTGATTAAAGAAAATGTTCCTTAGGAGTGTGATCGTGGTTAGCATAAGGAATCTGATGGAGCCGCTCTCCTCCAGACCCCCTGCCTCCCTATTGCTGCTGTTGCTTCCCCAGGTGACTATGTTAGAATGAGGGCCCCACCCCCATGTTTGAAGACTTGTTCTCAGTGGTGGTCATAGTCAGTGGAACTGTTTGGGAAGAATCCAGAGGTGTGGCCTTGTTGGCAGAGGTGTGTCACTGGGGGTGGGCTTTGAGGTTTCCAAAGACACACACCCATCCCAGAGAGTGTCTCTCTGCCATGTGGCTATGTCTCAAGATGTGACCTCTCAACCACTGCTCCAGTGCCATGTCTGTCTGCCTCTGCCATGACCCCTGTGATGACAGGCGTAGATTCTAACCATCTGGCCCCAAGAGCTACATATTAAATTCTTTCTTTATAAGTAAGTCAGACAGATGACCGGAAGTGTAAGCCTAATAAATCATTTCCTCCCCAAGTTGCTGTTGGCTGTGGTGTTTATCACAGCAGCAGAAAGGAAACTAAGATACCTGCGCGGTCGGCCAGCATCCTCTGGCACTGAGTCGTCTGGCTGTCTTCTTGGGGGCTGCATCCTCCTCCATCCCACACACCTCTGCTTCCGGCAATCTCTGAAAGAGAGACAGGGCTGTTGGTCTCCCTGAATCACCGACCTCCTTTCTCTTCTGTGTCCTCCCTGCTTCACTACATCTGAGCTCTTACTTCCTGCTCCATAAAATGTTAACCCCTGGGACCAGTGAGTCAGGAATTAACCATGGAGCTTGTTCACCACCAAAGCCCACCTAGAACATAGTCTTAATTTATGGGTCACCCAAAATTGACTGTTGTGGTTCTAAACAAGCAAAGACCAAATCTCTACTCAAAACCCAAACTGTAAGAACCCTGAAATATTTGTGGCGACTCACTCCTGTGCTGCATCTTGCAATTGCACTGAATCCTTGGATGTGAATACAGACCTCTCTGTGCTGGACGTGCTGTCGTCTATGTATCAGCGACAAACCTGCCCGCAACCCCTCAGCCCCAATTCACTGCTGGTCTATAGCATTTTTACTCTGTGTTCAAAGTTTTATGTTCTTGGAACTTGGAGAGCTGTCTTAGGTGGTAAAAGTGCATGAGGACTTGAGTTTAAATCTCCAGTATCAACAGGAAGAACTGAGCACAGCGGGGTGTGCCTGTCATCACAGCCCAGATCCCTGGGGCTTGCTTGCCAGCTGATCCAACCAAATTGGCAAGTTCCAGACTCAACAAGAGACTGTCTCAAAACTAAGGTGAAAGCCAGGCATGGCGGTTTATACCTTTAATTGTAGCAGAGGCAGGGGATTAAACAGAGGTGGATCTGAGTTCAAAACCCAGTAAAAAGCTGAGAGAGAGAGAGAGAGAGAGAGAGAGAGAGAAAGGAAAGAGAGAGAGAGAGCAACCAAGAAAGAAGCCCAGCACCTTTTCACCTACAGGTGTGCGTACATGGGTACACATAATCATATTTATAAACACACAAAAAATGCTTTGCATTCTTGGGGAAAATAATGGCTCTTATTTATGGAATGCAAAGATTTAATATTTCTCTACTAAACTAGTATCAAGTTAGCATATTTTTGAATTGGCTCAGACAAACAAGCACACCCATCTCATTGATATATAAATTTGCTTTCACTTTCAGTAAATGGTAAAACTATCTATCCATACAGATAATTGTTTTAGAGTCAATTTCTTTATGATTTGCTATGAGTTAATGTTTGATCTGTAGATCTATTTTACATGCCTGTGTATCCTGGGCTCTCTAAAAAATTAAAGAGCAACAACAAAATAAAGCTTATGCAAATATAATTCAAGGAGACGGGCCAGGTTTCACCCCAAGCAGGCAGTGGAACTTGACAGCTTTAGCCATGATGTTTAGAGTCGTGAAGGATTCCAGAGTAAAGGGGATGGGACTCTTCCTCTGAGGTCAAGGGAAGCTGCTGAGATCTGGTGTGTGGAGAGGCCAGAGTGTGCAGCTGTGAGGACGAAGCTTGCACGGAGTTGGAGACCCCACGATGTTGGAGGTGTCAGAGCTGTGGGAAGTTCACCAAGGAGAGCTGCAGACAGGGCTTGGAACCAGCCAAAGAGCACGGTAATAGAAAAAGTACTGAGACACCCCCAGACACGCAGAGCAATGCAAAAGATAGGAAAATGATTTTTCTTGTGTGTGCACGAGTGTGTGTGTGTGTGTGTGTGTGTGTAAGAGCACATATGTGTGCAGTGCACATGCACATGGAGGCCGCGGTTACAGTGTCATCTCGTGGGAGCCATTCACTTTATTTGTTGAGACAGGGTCTCCTGAAACTTGCTGTTTGGCTAGGCTGTTGACCAGGAAGCCCTGGGACCCTGCCTGTCTCTGCATCCTCTGGCGGGGGTTACAGAGGTTCACAGCCACACAGCTTTTCCATGGGTGCTGGCATTGAACTCAGGTTCTCATGTTTATGTCGCAAGTACTTTACATGGCTCTGTTCGCTTCCCCTCCCCTGAAAGTGATGTTTCAGTGTACTGGGTACCAGACGGAAAAGGACAACAGTTCCTGGGAGATGTGGAGAGAACCTACGGTCACCTCAGCGTATTGGCCTGACAGGATTTTCTGGAAGCAATGAGGAGAGGTGAATACAGGTGAAGGAAGACATGGAGTCTCCCTGAGTTGGGAAGATGCTGTGCTGTAGCCATGGGAGATGGTGGCCCCTAGAGTTTGTGATGCAGAGTTTCATGAGCAGAGTGTGTGCGCTGGCTAGTTTTATGTGAGCTTGACACAGGCAAAAGAGGAAGCCTCAGTCGGGGAAACGACTCTATAACAGTGGTTCTCAATCTTCAGAATGCTGTGACCCTTTAATACAGTTCCTCAGGTTGTGGTGACCCCAACTACAAAATTATCATTGCTACTTCATAACTGTAATATTACTACTGTTTTGAATCTTGATGTAAATATCTGTGTTTTCTGTAGTCTTAGGTGACCCCTGTGAAAGGGTCTTTTGACCCCCTAAGGGGTCATGGCTCACAGGTTGAGAACTGCTCTCTACAAGATCAGGCTGAAGGCAACCCTGTAGAGCATCTTCTTAATTTGTGAATCTTGGGGAGGGCCTGACCCATTTATGGGTGGAGCCATCCCTAGGCTATTCGTCCTGAGCTCCATAAGAAATGAGTCTGAGTAAGCCATGGAGAACAAGCCAGTAAGCAGTACCCTCCCTGGCCTCTGCATCGGCTCTCGTCTCCAGTTTCCTGCCCTGCTTCAGTTCCTATCCTGACTTCCTTCCTCAAGGGACAGCAATCTGGAAGTGTAAGCCAAATAAATCCTTTCCTCCCCAAGTTGCTTTGGTTATGGGGCTTTATCACAGCAAGAGAAATCATGACTAGGACAGAGAGATACATAGTAACCCTGACTAGGACAGACAGATACATAGTAACCCTGACTAGGACAGACAGATCCATAGTAACCCTGACTAGGACAGACAGATACATAGTAACCCTGACTAGGACAGACAGATACACGGTAACCCTGACTAGGGCAGACAGATACATAGTAACCCTGACTAGGACAGACAGATACATAGTAACCCTGACTAGGACAGACAGATACACGGTAACCCTGACTAGGACAGACGGATACATAGTAACCCTGACTAGGACAGACAGATACATGGTAACCCTGACTAGGACAGAGCGATGCATAGAGACTGCAGAGGTGAACACTGGCTTCTGTGGTTAGTGCTAGTTAGTGTGCAACCTTGAAAAAAGTCCTTGAGGGCAGAGGACAGTGTAGGAAATGATGAGAAGGAACAGAAGGTAATGCTCATTGTCACACAGGGAACAGGGCTGCTTCCATGGGCCAGACTGGAGAAGCCTGCAGCCCACAGGGCACTGAAGGAAGGACACGTGAGGACTTTGCTTCACTAATAGGAAATGGCAGCAGGGCCTAGGGACTCGGAACTCCAACCCTCAATAAACAAGAGGCTGAGGCAGGAGGATCATAAGTTTGAGGCTAGTCTGGGCAACTTAATAAGACCCTGTCAGAAAATAAAGGGTTAGAAGGGTTTGGGGAAGCAGAATGGGAGTGGGGGAGCATGGTTCTCAGCACCTGCTTAGAACCCCCCAGTGAGGGGCTGTGGTGTGGCTCAGGGAGTGTGCTAAGGCCCCCAGGGTTCAGTCTCCAGTACTCACAGAAAAATTATTCATTATGATAATTCTTTTGGGCAGCTTTAAACAGCATAGTACATAAATAATTTGAATTCAAGAAAAGTAAGGGAGCCGGGCGGTGGTGGCGCACGCCTTTAATCCCAGCACTTGGGAGGCAGAGGCAGGCGGATCTCTGTGAGTTCGAGGCCAGCCTGGTCTACAAATGGAGTTCCAGGACAGCCTCCAAAGC